GTGCTATTCTCCCGCCCTCGTTGTCGCCGTGGTCGTCGTCGCGGTCGTGCTCGTGCTCGTGGTCGTGGTCGTGGTCGTGGTGGTGGTCGTGGTCGTGGTCGTGGTGGTGGTCGTGGTGGTGGCGGCGGCGGGGTAACGGAGCTCTCGGGTTCGCCGACGGCATGCGCCAACAACCGGCGGCAGCGCGCTTTATCGACCTTTTCAAAAGCAAGTTACGTAACGAGAAATATACTTTTCCTCTCGCGCTCGCTTAACCTATACTCGCTTTCCCCTTGAATTCCTCGTGGCTCGACTTACCCTCGTGCAGCCCGGCTCGAGCAACCGACGACCCTCGCCCGGGCTCGCTCCCAACGAAATGGGCCGGGGCCGCTCCCCCGGATGCCTTCCGCGACCATACCATCCTGCTCGCGAGAACGTGATATACGGGCCGAACATAGCATACTTACCGGGCTGAATGTCGTGATCGTCGGGGCCGGTGCCATTCTGCAGAGGCTTGACGCTCGTCGTCTCGTCCCTTGGACCCTCGAGCTGCGAGCCCAATGCCATGCCTTCGCAATGTCCGACGATCTCCCTCGACGTATATCCACCTCGGCCCTCGCGTGCCCGACGTCCACGCGCCTCTCCACCTCCTCCTCCGCCACCTCCTCCTCCTCCACCTCCGCCCGGGGCAAACGCGCGCGCTCGCGCCTCGCCACGACGATCTCGACCTCCTCTGGCTGCTTGGACCTCCGGCTGGGCTGCTGCCTGGAGGTTGCTCGTGCGGTGGTGGTCCTTCTCTCTCCCGTCTCGCTCAAGTGTGCCCGGAGCTTATTGCTGGCGGCGCGCGACAAAACGTGCTCGCACGGCTCTCGTCCCTACCCTAGCGACGTCTTCGCTACCTCTGCGAAGTACGAAGTGCGAACTTGGGACTTCGCGCCGGCGCGCGTTGAATATGGCCGAGGTTGCGGGGATACGGACGGGATTCGGCCGCTCGGAGAGGGTTAACGAGAAAGAGAGAGAGATAGAGGAAGGAGAAGTCGCGCACCACGTGCCTGCGCCACCGATTCGTCTATCGCCTCGTACTCCCGGTCGCGGCGCAAACTTTGCTCCGATTTTACGGGGCCGCCGTACCGTTTGAGCCTGCTAAGATCACGAAAAGCGTTGCTCGCCTCTTATTGTTTATCGGGCGATTATTAAAGTCGCGGTATCGCCTTTTCCACGAGCATTCGCGAGTACTCGGCCCGAGGTAAGTACAAAGAACATTGTTCAATTAGATTTCGAGGCAATGCGCGTGCGCCCACCGAGCTTACTCGTGCCCCCTCCCTGGCCCGCCATGACGTCCGCCATCACGCATGCGTACGACCGTCTCACGCACTAGGCGACGTTTAAATTTACCGATGTAGTGCAGGCAATTACGAAAAACCGCCATTAGCGCGCAACATTCTTATGCAAATAGTAGAATTTAAGGTATCGTTGGGTGAAGAAGGGCTTGAATCTTTTAATCTCCGTGCGCGTATCATCGCTACCCAATCTCTGGTTCTTATCATTATCCAAGTTCGTTAAATGATAATGAATATTGGGGCATATTATTGCGCAATTGAGAAAGAGGGGATGTTTAGTTGTTCAAATGTTCAATGAAATGTATGGCTAATGATTTACAGAGAAGACATTATATTACCATTACGATCGATGGATCTTTATTAATTTAGGTCCTTAGAAGCTTCGACTTTCATCGATTGTGTTCTCTTCTGATTTACACGCGAATCTCGCATCTCGCATCTCGCATCTCGCATTAAGAGATGAAACTGAGAACGGAGAAGATGAAAGATTCGTTGGAAAATAATAATTGTCTGCAAAAGAATTATTCGTCCAACGATAAGGTGACGAACGATCGAAGATTGTTTATAATTCTCCATCAATTTAAAATAAATAATAAGAACGTTTGTCAAAAGCTCTGATAACGATATAACACATTAATAATAATACCAACGACGACAACAACGACAACAACGACGACAACAACGACAACAACGACGACAACAACAACGACGACGACAACGACGACGACAACAACGACGACGACAACAACGACGACGACAACAACGACAACAACAACGACGACAACAACAACGACGACGACAACAACAACGACGACAACAACAACAACAACAACAACAACAATAGCACTAGTAATAAAAATAATCATAGTATTAATAATATGTAGTTTTTTACTTTTGTTTTGGAGCTACATCCGTGTACAAAGCATATACGTAATAATATGTGAAAGTAATCTTAAATTTTTGATTGAATAACTTGTTTGAGCTTTTAAACATGGTAAATAGTTTGGCTGTTATAGCTGTCGGGCGAGTTTTAGTACTTGAAATATTTACTGCTACTCAATAAGATTCTAATAAAGATGTTAAACGTGTTTACGTTTATTGTTCTACCAATAAACCGAACTATACTATGGCCATATATATTTGCGATGTTAAATTGTAGCGAAGAAACCATTACGAATAGCAAATACCACCATAAACATTATGTGCAATATTTACTTTAAAGGAATTACATTATATCGCCTATTTGGATAGCATCGGTAGGATAAAAGATGCGCGCTGCTGTAAGTAATGTAGATAGAGGAGAGAAACTAAATTTGGATTTCGGCCCTTGTTAGTCCATTTCCTAGCTTCATAAGCACGCTCTCTTTCTTCTTCGCAGGCATATGTATTTCCCCTCCGTTCCCTCAGCGCCATATTCGAATATGCACGAAGTTGGGCGACTTGACCGCTTGGAGCAGTAGCTCACGCGGACTTTTAGGTTTCGTTCACAGAGCGACCGACGTGTCGCGTTTTCTCTCAAGCATCGGCCGATCTCTCTCTCCGTTTTCATTTTCCTCCCACCGACCAGCCGATTCGGATGTTATGTAAATATATGGGACACAAGCCAATCTAATCAGTCCTACCGCTCATTACTTTTAATTCCTCACCTCCTCATCAAGTTTTACACTTGAAATATTTACGAGAATTTATGAATATTTAGTGCTTAAATATAATAATGAATCTCGCTCGCTTCTCACTCACAGAATTTCGAGATTTCGGGTAACCAAGAAGGTAGTGAAACTTGGATTTTACCACTTTGAAATAAATAATTCTCGTGTTGTTGTTGTTGTTGTTGTTGTTGTTGTTCATTATTATTATTTGTTTTTTTTTATTTTTTTTTTTATTTTTATTTTTTTTTTTTATAATAAATTAAAATATATTCACTTCTATTTAGTGTAATTCAAAATCTTTGTACATTACTCATTATGTAATAATACTATTTATGTAAGATGAACGTATAATGCGATAACGTTTCATTAGGATTGCCATGAATATTTTCATAATTCAACGGACATAATAATATTGTGAGATTACTGATATATTGGAAAATATACGGATAGTCCGTGAAGAGAGTCTGATCTGTTTATATTTCAATCTATCGAATGTGCTAAAATAATATTATAATTCAATATTAATTAGTTTAATTTAATGTTTATCAGCTCTCGCGAAACGTGAAATTCAAGCGATTATTGATCAACTTATCGATCGATTATCATCGCTAAAACATAAGAGACAAAATTTTTTGATAAATATTTTTCTTAACTACGTTTATTTTAGAAATATATATCATATATTATGTGAATGTAGATAGCTGCTTATGATTATTTTCTCCATTATTGCCTATTAAAGATTATGGTATGTCACATGATTGCAGGCACTTATAACGAAACTAATTTTTTCCATTTCTATAAAGATTTCATCACCACTTATGAACTTTATGTAACATTATCTTGTCATTTCATACCATTATCAATGCATTAATAGCATTATTTTAATTGGTTCTTTATTTCATTTAAAAAAAAAAAAAAAAGTAATGAGTTCTTAAACATTCTTAAAAATTCGTGAACAATGTATGGAGTTTCACTTGAAAATTAACATTTTCAACTTGAGCTCAACAAAGTTTGTCCAACACGGGATAAATAATGTTGCATCTTCTAACCTCATCCGACTTGAAATAACGATGTTAATTTCTTGACGCTTACTTTAAATGCTTTGTTCCCCTCCAAGTTGTTAATCTGCTAAAGTAAACATTGAAAAAATACCTTTCCACTTGTATTAGTCATTACCATTGCCCCATTTTTCAAAATACCGTAAGACCACCAATACAAAATATCTCTTCGATTTCATTTTTTATAGAGGCAATTTTGTTAGAATCATTTTGCTATTGTTTCGGCCTTTAATATTGCCATTATTCACATATTTTAATTTAAAAAATTCAATACATATTTTCTTCTTTACTTATTTATATTTTTTTAATTATTTTAGATGCATCATATTTAAAAACAACACTATTAATTAATTTCAATGGCTTTATTTTAATTTAACGCAAGATGATACTTTGCATATACGTTCAAATAACACTGTAAAATTTTAAAAACTTCTTAATTAAATAATAAATACTATTGTTTCTTAATTAATAATTCTTAATTAATCTTTTCTTAATTAATAAATCTTAATTAATAATTATAATGTTATTGAAAAAAAAAAAAAAAAAAAAATACATTTAACATTCGAGACAGGATTACTAGTTAATTAGATGTATGCAATAAATATGTATTTGTTCTCTTTTTTTTTTTTTTTTTTTTTTTTTTTTTTTTTCCTTTTTGTTCCTGTCAGGCATGTCATTTTATTGAGTTATTTATGTAATAGCTGAAATAAGGTATCTTAATTTATTATTTACTTTTAATAACATACGATGAAATTTTTTACAATATAAATCTACAGATACTTCATTCGAGAATACAAAAATGTAATTTATACGTATTTATGAAAAAGTTCAGATATTATCTGTTTTTACTCCCAAGTCTCTATTGTATCAATAATTGCTATTACATATATATATATATATATACATATATATATATATATATACATATATATATATATATATACATATATATATATATATATACATATATATATATATATATACATATATATATATATATATACATATATATATATATATATACATATATATATATATATATACATATATATATATATATATACATATATATATATATATATACATATATATATATATATATACATATATATATATATATATACATATATATATATATATATACATATATATATATATATATACATATATATATATATATATACATATATATATATATATATACATATATATATATATATATACATATATATATATATATATACATATATATATATATATATACATATATATATATATATATACATATATATATATATATATACATATATATATATATATATACATATATATATATATATATACATATATATATATATATATACATATATATATATATATATACATATATATATATATATATATTAACATAAAATCATTCACAAGATTACGATGAATTAATAAATATAATTTTTCATAAATATAATCATTCTTTATTAATATATTGATTGTACACATTTTATACTAAATTCAGAATAGCTAGAATATATTCTCTGTAATAAAGAACACCAAAATGTACATTGACTTTCAGCGGGTGGTACTGTGGTTCCATGTGTGGGTATATTCCATTATTGATACCAATAATCGTATTGTGAAATAATAGTGGACCACCATCATCGCCCTAAAAAATATTATATAGAAAAAAAAAAATTGTCTCTTTACCTTTACAGAGATATCCTATATATATATTATGAGTTAAACTTCCTTTACTTATGGATACGTAACTACATCAAGAGGTAACAATTTTTCATCTTAATATAATAAGTTGAATAATTTCATTATCAATTTTACAAAACAATAGTATTATAGAATTATAGATTGATTTGCATATTGTCATTTTATTGCAATAAAAAATAATTTATCAATTTGATACTCGAGGTCCGTCACTTTTATAATATTCTCGTTGTAAAAATATCACTAATTACCAACTGCCTTAAAGCATACTTAGGTGGAACATTCAGATTTTCATAAACATAGAAATTATTTTAAAAATCAAATATTATTTTTCATACAGTCGTTATGTAATTAAACACTTCTAATGCGCCGTTACGTAATGGTTCTTAGATCAGTCCAAAGCAACGATTTGTCAAAATCTTTCAAATAATTTCGCTATTAGTAGAAACTCTCGTACTTGTCGCCCAACCATTTCAAACGAATGCATTATAAGTTCACAACGTTGAGGATTTTGAGACAACCGATGGTCGCTTATTATCCTAGCTGATTTTCATTATATTCTTTGTTACAGCTATCTCGACCATTAGTATATCCTCTACGCGACTTTTCATCGCCATTCGTTTCTCGGCAACGTTGTTACGGACTCGAATAATTTCTCCATCAGCAATTCCTCTCGTTTCCGAGTTACTGCAAATTCATTAGTCCATGAGCATTTAAAAAACATCGTGAAAGGACGAAATAAATTGGTGTGTCTTATACGGGGACTGTTGTTCTTGAATATGTTTGTGTGGCTGTTGCTTACGCCGAGTGATTTTGTTTTCGTAAGTAAATGCGACACTCTCAATTTGCGCATAACTTTTATTCCCAAATTCAACTATGCGTGCGAAATATAATGCACGTTATGTTATTGTATCGTAGCTCTTCAATTCCCTAATTTTTATTTTGGCGCATTATATACTCGATGCACACCCATGTACAACTTCAAGTTTAAGGAGGGTATATTGATGAATAAGAAGTGCTCGGAACGACTAATTCATAACTCACGCAGAGCTTCAATCGCTTATCGAAATGTACATAAATAGACTTCTTGCCCTGTTTCTACAATTGCAATAAGCAATTCCGCAAATTACCGATTTTAAGATAATCATTAAATCATACGTTCATTCATTCGTTTATTCATTACGCAATCGAATACTGATATTAAAAGCCGACAATGTAAGCACATTCGGTCTTTTCTCTCTACTCTATGTAACCAAAAGTAAGTAAGTATATGAATTTAGATAATTCATTAAATTTCAAAGAATTTCTAATTTCTTTTCTCCGCACTATAAAATTTCTTCAGTATCTTTCGTTAAATGTTTTATAATAAATAATAATTTCGTAACGACACATTCCTTCACGCAACCTATTAAGTATTAGATAATTTTAATTTTTTTAATTAATCCCTAATCTTATTATAAGCTATTGGCTTTAATTTTGTATATGTCAAAAATGTTGGCTATTCCTTCGTAATATTCTATTATATTATATTATATATATATATATATATATATATATATATATATATATATATTCCTACTTACGGCGTTCAAAAATATTGGCGGATTCGCAGCTGTACATAAGAGCCTTTCGGGCATCGCCATAGGACGACCACGTAGCTCGCCAATCCGCCTGTTACATTCATTATGTGATAAAACTGTCACAGTCCCCATGTGCATAGTAGTATGAAGATGTCCACTCGATGTCCTAGTCCATGTTGCAATCTTCATTTCCATTCCATAATACAAGTCCTGTTCAATGAAGGATACAGTGGCAGGGACCGCGTTTGCAAAGATTGAGAGTAGCTGTAAGAAATATAACGATTTAATCTATGACATGGAACTGTAACACCGGTAAGAAGAATTATTTATATTTTTAAACAGAAAAAAAAAAAAAGTATAATTGACAAAAACGAAACTGTTTACTTCTTTATATAAGTGTTATTTTATTCACCCTTATTATCATCACATCGTTAGCTACAAATTCGGTTTCTCTTTGTTGTTGGAACATCCACTGGTTGTACGATACCCACCAATACAGTCGAAATTGTGTACAGTAGAGTATATCGTTTGATCCACCGACTACGATAGTTTGCATTAAATTTTGGCTTACTAAGCAATGTTCAGACGTTAGAACATCCTTAGTACTGACAAGTGTGCCTACACATAGTTTGTAAGCTTGCAAAGGATTTAATCTCAAAACTTGCGCAACACCGACAACATACGGAAATTCGTTTTCTTCTGCTTGTCTGACATTTACTCCCGTCAAAGCGTTTGCGAAATCGCATGTGCTACCTGAAGAATAAAGATACCGTTGATTAAACATTACTCACCTCTTTCAATTATTAATGTTTAAATGAAAAAAATTCGTATTATAATATTGGCTTAAAATCTTATCTGAAATAAAGCTATCATTACTTACAAATTAGCAGACATTTGCAAACAAAGGAAAGAATTTTAATTTGCATTTTAGTCCAGCCACTATAAAATAAAATCAATAATATTACAAATATATAATTATAAAAAATAACTCGTTATATATAAATTCTTTATCTTCGTTTTAACTCTCAAAATAACAATTTTACAACTGCTTACAAAGAATATAAAATGTGACATATTCAACAAATAGTTATAAAAATTATCATAAAAGTGAAAAAAAATTTATGACAATTAGAAAACACGTATACGTCTTGTTGTAAATTTGAGCATACGTATGTGTGTAGCAATGTCGAACAATTTTTTAATTGTATTCGGATGAAAAGAATCGAAGACTAAATTGAAAAACGTTTTTAATTATAGTTTTATAGATTATTTTTTCCACTCACCTTATGATTCAAATCAGAATCTAATTCTTTCAAGAATCTGGTTCTTTCGTTCAAAATAGCATCACAACGTTTTTTGTGAAGTTTTATTAAGTACTTTTCATATATTTATTTCAACATCAAAGAAAAAAAAACTGCAATATGCTAGTAATATATATATATATATATATATTTTTTTTTTTCCAATATTATTCTATATTGTATATCGCTTCCGTTCTGACTATCAACTCCGTTATCAAATCCATTATTTAAATTCACACGAACACGGAGAATAATTTATTATTACTTGTGCTGTATATAACTATCCGTTTGCATTTGAAAATTACTTGAAATGAAATACATTAACGTTATATACATAATTTTATTATAAAAATTATCGCCTTTATCCAATATTTCAGTATCTGCATTTATTTTTTTTTTTTTTTTATTTTTATTTATTAAATAATTATTTTTTACCCAAAGTTTAAACATCGTTTGTCCCTTCTCGTAAATCGATACTATGTTATTTTTTTCTTACGCATATGTTAATAAGAGTCAAAATAATAACAAGATTAGAATGAAGTTATAAATATTTATAATTAAAATATATAATCATTCTTTATTAATATGCTGATTATACAATTTTATTATGGCTCATTTTTTGTAATTATAACAAATCGTCTATAATATTTAATACCAAAATGAATATTCACTTTTGCTGGATGATATATTGGTTCTATATTTGGAAATGTTCCACTGTTAATAGCGACGATATTATTTTGATAGAAAAGGGGACCACCACTATCACCCTAAAAATTATTTCTATGTCTGAAAAAATGTTTACATCTTTATGCAGCTTTCGTACATATAAATTCAACCCAATTGAGATTTTTATTTCCAATATATTGATTAACATATAATTATTTTATTGTTAATTACACAAAAATTTATAACTGTATACGGATAATAATATTTTCTATGTATATATATACTATATCGAAGACATTTCATGTCAAGCTAACTTGTAAGTTTTGTAAACTAAACTAAAATGTAAGTTTTGTTAATATTAATTATAAAAATAATATCGATGTAACTATATATGCTGAATTACATTAATATGTACAACTTTTCATTAATTCAGATTATTAATATCGCTTATTAATAAGTACTCAATTAATAACTACATTATCATTACCGAGGACCGAACTATTACTGTACTCATGAAAGATCTGATGAAAGATCATTAATGTATTATATTTTTTAGAAAGATATTTTAATGTTTTTGATTTAATGAATAGCTCAATTGTCAAAAAAATTATTTACAATATATATTTTCAAAAATACGCGTAAATTATCCAACTCCAGGTCGAAGATACATGGAATGTGAAATATTTTTGTAAATGTAAAAATTTGGAAAATTTAGTATCTTGGAGCGATAAAATTATTCGATCTGTTAGTACTTAAAAAAATTATTATCAAACAAAACAAATGTTCATCGTTGGAAAAATATAAATGAAAGATTTTTTTTTTTTTTATAACAATTACAATGTAAAATTCACTTTGAATGAAATGAAGATTGATAAATATTTATATAAAAAATTGAAACTCGAAATTGAATTTATATGTACAAATTGTTAATAAATGTTATTATTAATTTAATAATTTTTACGATATTCTTGCTTACTGGATTCAAAAATATTGGCGGCTGGGCAGCCGAACATAAAAGCCTTTCTGGAACGTGGACGTCGCGGCCACGTAGATTGCCAGCTCGTATTTCACAATCATTCTTTGATAAAACTGTCACCGTCCCTACATGCATAACACTGTAAATTTCTCCAGTAGTTTCTCTAGTCCACGTTGCAATTTGAAGATTCAATCCATAATAATAAGCATTAACTTGACGAGACATAGAGGCAGGGGCGACCGCAGCTGGAACATCGGTAAGTAACTAAAAGAAATATAATATTAATTTGATTATATTAATTATATATAAAGCTTATATATACGATAACATTCGTGTAAATGTAATATATAAATTTTCCTTGAAACAAATTAACTGCATATATATCCAAAAGATTTGTGCATACTCTTTATACTTTATAAATATCATTTACCCTTATTACAGTTACGTCATTCATTTCAAATTCCGCTTGCATATTTTGTCGAATCATCCACTGATTATACGTTAACCACCAAAATATTCGATAATTTGTACCAGCGGTTATATTGACGGAGCCCGCAATTATTACAGTTCGTGACAAAGTTTGGCCAGATAAACAATGTTCAGCAGTCAGAACATTTCTCTTGTTGATAAGTGTACCAATACAAATTTTACGAACTACTAGTGGATTAGAATTCATAATTCTTGCCACACCGACAACAAACGAAAATTCGTTTTCTTCTGCTTGCCTGACATTTACTCCGGTCAAAGCATTTGCAAAATCCCATGTGCTACCTGAAGAATAAATATACCGTTGATTAAACATTACTCACCTCTTTCAATTATTAATGTTTAAATGAACAATATTCGTATTCAATAATTCTTATCTAAAATACAAGCTATCGTTACTTACAAATTATTAATAATTTGCAAAGAAATGAAAAAAATTTAACTAGCATTTTGGTCCCACAACTACAAAAGAAAATCCATAATATTTGCGAATGTATAAGTATAACTAGCATAAAAATTCTCTATTTAAATTTATTATCTTTATTTTGATGTTGGAAAAGAAAATTTAAAAATAGTTATGACTTGTATAAAATATTAGACATTTACAAATAGCTATAAAATTTATTGTCAATAATGAAAAAATTATTGCAATTCGTTATACGCCTTTTTTGTATTTAACTTTATGTCTATGCACATATTGCACATTTCTAACAATTTTAATTATTAATTACTTATCTTAGCATCAGCAGTACCGAATTTTATATTATTAAATATTTCGAAATAAGATAGAATGTCTATATTAATATATTATTTAAAAAATATATCGTAAAAAAAAAAATCTTACAAATCGTACGTTATTTATTAAATGACCCGAAATGAAAATTTTATTCATATATGTTTGATATTTAATAACTTTAATAAAAGTATAATAATTTAATAAGATTAGTATGAAGTAATAAATAAATTGAAAATTATTTGTTTTCTACATATAAATAGTTTTGATGGACATATTATGTGAATAGATATTACATGACTGATTAGTGATTACATTATGTCACAGGTAAGAGACGCTTATTATCTATAGTTTGTAAAAGCTGCAATGTATTCAGTAAAAGTATTCATCTTAAAAATAGCAATAAAAATTTATATAAATAAAAAAAGTAAAATAAAATAAAAAAAGAACTCAAAGTTTTCACGAAATTTAAAGATTCTGACTCTATCCATTGAGTCGAATTTTGATTAATAATATCTTCCAATTTAATGAAATGGTTGTTAAACATCTCGTGTTATATATTATTAAAATTACACTTAAAATTATTATAAAGACATAATATTTAAATAAATACTTAATTATACTGCGACATAGTACAGCTTTTGCAGTTCATTCATTCAAGTTCAAATAAATTATCTATAATAATCGATATAAAATGTGATGATTTAATTTATTCGAATAATATATTGTATAATAAATTGTAACAGAGTCAAGTAAAAGCGAACCACCACAATCATCCTTCAGTTATATAATTACAGTTACATATAATTTGAGTTCATTGCACTAAATAAAAAATGCCTGAATGCTTAGAACTGATATCCAGTGATTCCTTCCGTTCAATTCGCCACTTACGTGTAATATAATATATGCGATATATTAAAATACATTTTATATGTACGTTTAAAAATGTATGAGTCAATTTAGCAAATTGGTAGGTTTGTTGGTAGTGTGGTGCATAATCCATTATTACGCTAATGGTACTCGAATTGATTAAAAGTGAATCGTTCTTTTATGCAATATGATATGCAAATACATAATTATAGCCATATATATTCAAAATCTATTAAAATTACAATATATAATAATATTTGCTTAATATTGTATATTATGAATGAAGTATAAAACACATAAGAAAAAAATTAATAAAGTCACAATAAATTTAATTTAATATTTTATTAAACTTATCATTAAATAAAATTAATAATATATAATTTCTTTTTACAATCTTTATGTATATAGATTCAATATAAACTTTTGAAATTATAATTAAAATATAAAATTATATCAAAATGTACATAATATAATACACACAATTCTCTTTCACTAGCATAAATATTAATTTATAGAGCATTATAACTTACGCTGGCCAATAATACAAATAATCTGCTGCAGTTCATGTGATTCATAGGGGAACTGCAATTTTTCGTTGGCAAATCTTGCTGCATCTTTCATTAGAGACTGCATTTCATATGATCATCAGAATTGTTGTTTACGTAATTTCAAACATGTTACCATCATGCATTAACGTACTCCAAGTAGTGATTCTAAAATCTAATTCAAATAGGTCGATACCTCCCGCTTGCAGCAACAAAGCTACTGGAATTGTTTCATCAGGTAGAATTAAGATAACTACGATTAAATAGAATGTAATAATTATGATATTTAGTTTAAATTTATATAATGAATGTAAAGAATGTACATATAAAGTTTTTATGTGAATTAATATAGAAGAATTTATTAACGAAATTAATTAATATTCGTTCTGCACATGTGCCATTGGGTTGCACATAACAATTTCGTTTTGTTATAATATATATATATATATATATATATATATATAATTAATCTGTATACGTAACATGAAAGATACTTTCTACGACTATTTATTCCACCAAATGATTCCACTCTATTATTAGAATTTTCATTAAATGATGTAGCAATTACTCCTTTATTATGTATTATTATTGTGTCATTCAAGTAATCACGCATATCATTTAAAAATGAGAACCTCTATACAAATTTTCCTCGACAAAACTTGGACAATAGCAACAGTAAAAAGAAAAATACTCTCTCTAATTTGTTGAATATTTTATTCAATTAAATTACCTGCAAAATTATATCAGTTACCTAAATAAGGCATATATGATTGGATGATATTGAAATAATCAGGCTACTGTATAAAGACAATGTAAATTATTATTTCCCTCTAATTATATGGCTGAAACGTTCGATTAAATGTTCTAGAAAATTATTAGTATTTTAAAATAATCTTAAAAAGAAATTAAATATATATATATAGATAGATAATAAAAGTGATAATAAAAGTTAATATATGGCATCTTGTATAATGTTTAAATTAAATAAATTTTAATTGATAAATAACTATAGCGAAAATATTCAGCATTACTATTGGAAATTATTAACTACATAAATATTTTTTTTTGCAATTATTGCAAATTTTATCGTAAAATTATAATTTGTATAAATGAAAAAATATATTAATAAAGTGTGTAATAATAATACATCGAATGTTTATATTATAAGCCTATGCATTTAGATATATTAATGAGTCAGTGTTTACTTAGCCAGAATATATAGTGAACAAGTAAATAGATGTTAAACATGACTTTTACAAAATACAAATAAATTTGGATTAAATAAGATAGAAATTGAAAAATAATTTTACGCAAACGTTACGACATAGTGAACATAACCACAATGGGATTTATTATGGATAAATTTTATATTAATAAATAAAGATGATTTTAATTTAATTTTTATACTAATCACGATTACTACGATCGATTAATAGTCAATGTATAAATACAAATAGAATATTGTAAATAGATATCGACTAATATATATCATTACGTAAATAAAGATCTCCTGATAAAATAACGTTAAATTCATAAATTGTTATACATAAATTATTAAAATATTGTCGACGTTGTCTCAAATTACTTAAGAAATTAATGCACAAATTATATGCATTTAATTGAAAATAATAATGAATAATAATAATAATAAAATAATCTATATACAATTATATTTCAAGAAACAATTATAACCTATATTAGAAGAAATTTTTTTCATTGCAATGCACTTATTGTTAAATATATATTAATAAAATAAAACTTGTTTCAAATATTAAAATCTACCTTATGTTTTATAATATTTATTCCATTAAATTAAAGTTAACATATACAGTCTTACAAATACCATTTATATCAATGATTGAATGCAAACTACCAATTATCAAATTTATTTCTCTTTAGTCTCATGACTCAAACATTTTTTCTGAAATATCCAGACGCTTACTAAATAATTACTTTTTAATGCATTAGTTTTCTCATTTATTAAAAAAAATGATGCAAAATCTTTATATGGCATTTATGAGTGTGATATAAAATGTTATAAAATTTATAAAGGTTAGCAAGGATAATCTTGACTGAATCTTTATTTCAATCATCTGTTTTTTTTTTTTTTTTTAATCATAGGTCCACCAACATGTACAAACAAGGCAATATGAACAATTTTAATACCATATGAATATGTATGATGAATAGGTATGTGTACTGTTTGTATATTTTCTTATAACCGAAGACATATAAATGAATCTGATTTTTATATTTGCATACGTACATTAGTATTTGCAACAGATTTATGATTTATAGACATTAGAAAACGTTATAAACGTATAAATTAGTGACTTAATACCTTATAATTATTCAATGTATTTTAATTGAACGTAGAATAATAATGTTACCTAATTATATAAATTCAATATTAAATTTACAATCAATTATTTTGCATTTGAAATTTATAGCAATACTTATAATTTTTAAAACATGATTTAAATTAAGCATAATAGTTTAAGATATGTTATAAAGATAATGATTTGCTTTGCTATAAATTTTTAATTTTATAAAATATAGCGAATAAATGTCATCATAAATTTCTTGAATAATAATAAAAAGTATTTGATATCAAATTTTCTTAAGATAGAACTGTAGATTATAACATAATTAAATTTCTTTTATAAATATACTTTGGAGAATATTGGTAAAACGATTCCTTATTAATTTTAATGAAAAATTATCTACGCATAGTTTATCAACCTAATCCATTTACATAATAACAACCATTTATTAGATTTAGACAAATTATGTAAATAAAAAGAATGATTTTTTTTTTTTTTTTAATAATTCTATATATAATATTTAAAATATCAAACATTTAATATATTATTAAAAAAAAATCGAAAGTTTAAATAACAATTTTTAAATTCACAATAGTTCGATTTATAATTTATTCGTATGCTACTGTTAATGAATTTTTCAAACATAATTTCACAAGACATTGAAATTAAGTTTTAACCATTCAATAGATTAAATTTCAAATGTATTATTTTTGTCACATAATATAAAATCATAATTATCGTTGGCATTATTTTTATATAAAAATGTTTGATCGATGGTTTTCCATTTCCCGTGGATTAAAAAGAAAATTTATTTTCACAAAAAATTTCACGGTGATTACACTTTTTAATTAAATCAATCATTTTATCAAAACAATAAAGTGTTAAAATTTGATTTCTCCAAAGATAAACACAAATTATATTCTCAATATTACTAGTATTATACGATATTATGGGAATGAAAGAAAATTCGACAAAATATTTACAATATATGCTTTAAATGAGTATTCACACTCAAAATTATATAATACTTTTTTTATAATTGCTTACAGAAATAATTTATTGCAATAATACTTCCCACTTCCTATTCATTCATACTTACAGTTATTCTAAAAATTTACCATTTCAGGACATTGCATCGTTCGTATAATATTTGACACTCGCATTTTAAATACCAAAGATCTTTTTCCCGATCTTGTTTTGATATTACATCTGCCGATCTAGATCGCCTTACGTATAAGATTTCGGTCACCGAATGTTTTGCCCCAACTTATAATTCTTCTTTCCATCTTCGTCTGCTAGAAACAGTTTTTTTCAGCTCCGACAGTCCTTTCTGTTATTCAACTTATACAACGACTGCCCTCTTTTGTAATTGGTAATATCTCTACTATAATATATATATATATATATATACGCATATACCCACTCAACTTCTGTAATTCAATCTATAATTTGAATCTTGAACATAAAAGCATATTTTTTTCTAAGCTTTGACTCGAGTGTACTTGCGAGATTTGATGACAAGACTCATAACAGACCTTACCTTATCTATGTGTATTAATATTAATTAATTTCATTAATTAAATCTTAAATTTTACACCTATTATTATACATAAAATCATATACAAGAAAATATGTATATTTAAATGTATTATAAGAATAGAAAATATTATAACTTAATAAATTATAACCAAATAATGTTCACATTTCTATGTAATAGAAATTTGAAGAATAATTTTTTAATCTTTATCAAAACAATGAATACGACTATGATTAGCGAGGAATATTTTGAAAAACTGTTCAATCGAAAAATATTTAAAATTTTTCTCTTTTCAAAAAAATTGGCATTAACAATTTTTTTTTAATAATGGACGATAAAGAATTATCTAAATGCTACATGTTTGCAAATATTCGATAAGTTCGACGCGTTCCATTAAAACATTTTTCATTATACTAATTTTTCAAAAAGATTAATGCATAATTATTTTAAAAAATATATAGTTTAATTTAAGAATTTAATTTAAGTATTCTACTTTTTGAGCTTATATTGTTTTAATTATATCTTAAAAATATAAATGTTTCTTTAAATGTCTTACTTAGGACATATTCATAACAGATTCTATAAATACTTTATAATAATAGATTCCGAAATGATAGTTTACTCTTGTTGAATGATATGGATATACGCCAGAATTAATGGCGATGAGACCTCCATTCAATATAAGTGGACTACCACTGTCACCCTGTAATAAATAAAATACATATACATCAAATAGAAATTCTGTGTATCATTCAAAATATCCATATGATATTAGCGTTATATATATATTGCCGCTTTATCAAAGATTTATAATAAAATTAATGAAATCATTCTTTGGAATGATAATTACATTATAATGATAGCATGTCAATATACTTATTCAATGGGGTAGCATATTAAATTACTACTCACAAATAGTATTACGTTTAAAATAAATATTTATAATGACAGTAAAAATAATAAACTTATTGCTAATGATACGTTTGTGTTAAATCAATCAATGCTTACAGAAGTTAATATTACGTATGGATCGGCAAAACTACACAACATTCTTTGAGGAATAATAACTGTTTCTTGGCCAAATATCATACATTTTTGTTGACAAATTTCATTTGATAAAATATTTACAGTTCCTTTTTCCATGATTTTTGAAATATGCCCAGAACTACTTGTAGTCCATGTTACAATAGTAGCATCTAATCCATACAAATAAGAATTTGGTACAAAGTAAGTAACTATTGCATGCATTATATTATCCAAAGTGGTATACAACTGAAAAATTGTCACGCTCAATGTAAATTTTAATATAAAGTTCTCATACAGTTTAATTAAATAAAGTCTTTGACATTTTTTTTTTACTAAATTATTATGTACACAATTATTATTAAAAATTAGGCCTTCTTTAATGATATTCTTACAATAATTGTATCCATTTCATTTTTAATGTTAAATTATAATTAAATATTTTACCTTTATTATAGCTACATCATTTAATGGGAATTCAATTTGTCTATTTGTTTGGACTGCCCATTGATCGTATGTTAACCACCAAACCAAATTATATCTTTCACACTTTATCAAATCAAATGATCCAGCGATGACATTTATTTGCAACAAATTTTCATTTTCCAAACAATGTTCAGCAGTAAGAACATGTTTGTGAGTGATGAATACGCCCATACATATTATTTTTACTAATGATGTATTATTATTTACAATATTAGCAATAGCTGCTACATAAGGAAATTCAGTACTTGTTAATTGTTTAACACCTGAACCAGCGAGAGGTTTTGCATCAAGAAAGTCTTTATAACTACCTAAAAGAAATAATAATTGATTATAGATCATTTTACTTTTAATATATAAATTATTTATTTTATGACTCACAAATAATTATACACTGACAAAGAATAATAATAAACTGCATAGTAAGTACTGATGCTATAAAATTAAAAAAAAAAAAAATTGTTTATACGAATATATATATATATATACATATATATATATATATATATATATATATACATATATATATATATATATATATATATATATATATATTTATTTATTTATACATATACTGATACAAATAACTTTCTTTACAAGTAGTTTTCAGATTTTTAATAAAATAATAATATTTTCAAGTAGAATGTTATTTCAAATAGAATTTATTTCAAGTCAATTAGTTGGATGTTATTGTTTTTCCCGGAGTTATCGGAATTACACAAAACATTTGAATTATATGTAATTTAAAAATCGTGTATTTAAAATATATTACAATATATTACAATATAATAAAGTCAATAAAAAAAAATTAAGTAGATATGCAAATTTGAAAATATAATATTAACAGAAGTTAAGAAAGCTGTCCAATTAAAGCAAAATTGATTAAAATTTTGAATGATACTAAGAAATTTCAAGTATGTATTTTCGATGGGTGTGTTATAGAAACGAGAGAATAATGTTATTGTACCATTGAATTAATAAATGTTATTTCAATTACATTGATGCTTAATGTGTCAATTTGCCAATACATGTGGATTGTGTATGTGTGTACAGGTGCGTTATCCACATAGATAATTATAAAAATTAAACCAGAACTATATAACCGCATATGTATCATAGTGTAGTATATAGTTATTATATGAATTAACATAATTTAATAATACTACAAGCTTATGGCTTAAATAAACATAAAATGAAATGTATTTACAATCCAAAAGTATATTTCTTCTTCTTAAAATAATTATTGCTTAATTATAAATATTATAATATAGTTTGGTATTCCACGATAATTAATAATTAAAAAATCATTTTTGTTGTAGAGATTTATTTCATAGCCCTAAGAAATATTTGACTGAAATTTAATTATCGATGGCATATCATAAGGATCGTATTATAAGAATATTTAACTATAAAAATTGGATGTCACAGTAGCTATTATGAATATCTTTTAATATTTCCTAATGTCAGAACTAATGTTGATTTATCGGAACTAACGCAAACATGAAAAACAGACAAGAATCCAATTTATAAAAAGTATTACAATGTTTGTTAATAAACCATATAATTTCCATATAATTCCATTATGTTCTTTTAATTAAATAAATCGACTTTTAATTAAAGAAAATCACAAAATCAATCCAGAAAATTTTAACCAGAGCTCATCATCCTTATAATCATAATTACAATGTGAACATTAATTTAATAAATTTATAACGAGATATTAGTATTTTAATATAGATATCGAATTATCATTCGATGGAATTCGAAGTATAAAATCTCTTAATAACAACCCACGTACAAAACATACTAGATTTCTAAAGAAAACCCTGGACCACTAAACTGATGTCATCTATTTTTTAAATAGCGATAAAAGAAATTGTCATTACTTATTGGATTTAATTAAGAAATATATTATTGGAAGAATTAAGAATATATTAATAAAAAAAAAAAAAAAAAAAAAAAAAAAAAAAATAGTGAAACAAGATTTTGACTTTGGCTGGATTTATCGATTTGCAATTGTGACTGCTATTAGTTATAGATTGTAAAGAGAATAATAGGTAGTTCTCACAATTAAAGAAAATAAAGGAATAAAGTGTTAGTTATATAATTTATTAATCTCATATAACAAAGCTGGGAGTAGTGTAAACAATATCATCGAAATAGAAATGGAAACCAATGACAGATGCAGTTGCGATGTGTTAGTAATTATTTTCTATTATGAATATTATTTGTATATTCAAGCTTCTGTATTTACGTATTTTAAATTAAAAATTAAATTTAAATTTAACGTTTTTTTCTAATTATTTATGTAATTAAAATTAGAGGGTAAATTAGAAAAAACTATTACATAGCTATAAAATAACTATCATATGCTATTATTATGTTTTAATTATATTGTTATAAGATATCTACAGAAAATGAAAGTCGAGATAAAGCAAACTTTTTTTTTAAACAAATTTAAGGAATTAAGATGGTAAACTATTTTTTCTTTAATGCAGCCAGCCACTTTTTCTATAAGAATTTCGACCTCGTGGGGGCTTGTAAACCCATTTACAAGTGCAAAAATATACTGATTTCATAACTATAAATATATATTATTATATATATATATTTAAAGCATATAAGTGAAAAAAGTTATTAAGTATAAATTATTAAGTATATCAGTGTTTCATACGTATATGTATGCGAATTATTAAGCAATAGACAATCATTTTTCTTTATTTACGCGACATCCAACAAAAAGTGTAACAGGAAATCTTAATATAAATTACATTTAAAGCAACAATCAGATTAACTACAATACCGTAAATGATAAAATAAGATTATAATAATTATACTTTAATATAAACAAATAAAATATGTATATGATCTTTATTTTTTGTATATTGTAATAGAATAGATTTAATAATTATGAACAAACTTAATATTCTAATTCAAGAATTATGTTTGAAATTATGATTGGTCATCGTGTTAGTTGACTACATCTCTTTTTACATAACATTTTAAAAAATTAATATAAAAGAGCCACATCATTGTTCACATCGCAATTGAATATAATATGAAAGGATAGTACAAGCACCAATTGTAATTGTTTAGTTGAACAAATATATATTTTAATAGTTATATTTTCAATTAACCAAAAAAAAATATTGCTACTTCAATTAGTAATTGTTTTAGAAAAAATATGTAATTTTCAGTAAATTTATTTTTATTTCTTGCCATGAATTGTAACTTTTATTATGCACTTATGTTTGCTTACAAAGTATCTAGAAATAGTTGAATCGGCTGATATTCAGTATTAAGAAATTAATTCTATCAAAAGTTTATCCTTAACGCATAAGTACAGTTATTTTCAGGTTTCAAAATTAAAAAATCCTTTTCTTAATTAATTTCTCAATATTAAATACCAGGCGATCTAATTATTGTTGTATACGGTGAATATATGTTTGATGTTTGATTAAATATAAGTATATTTATACATATTTTCATTGATCGCCATTGATATTTGATTAAGATTTTTATTAATTCATATAATAAGTAGTAAAAAAAAAGAAAAGAAAACTTATTTATCGATGTCACATTTTTAATAATTAAATTTATACCATTCATAAATAAAAATATGTTAACTTATAGAATAAAGAAATTATTTCAACACATTTATAATACATAATAATAAAAACTATAATATTATAATATATTTATTATATAATATATTTCATATAATTGTATAATTAGAACCAAATTCTGTAATACTCACCAAATATAATATAATAAGACATAACGTAGTGTACAATACAAATGGATTTATAAAATAAGATCCAGGAATTTAATCATTTAGCTTTACTGAATCTTTTACAATTAATTTTTTATAATGTTCATACTAGCTAGTGCATTAAAATATATACATTCATAGATATGTTAGAGTGAAAATTTTATTTTCACTTACATTGAAATCGGATAATCGATTTATTTAAATAATCATATCGTTATCGTATGGGCAAAATTTATAAAATCAAATGTTCATACTGCATTAACCAACATTTTCTATTAATTTATATTAAGTCAGTTTTATTACAATTGTGATATCCTGAGTAAGTCAGCAAAATTTAAAATTAACTATTTTTCTTCTGACACTTAATCGAATAATACTATTTCTAGAATTAATAGATATTTCAATAAATTTTTTTCATAATAAATCATGTAATTTCTTTTTATATAATTCTAAATGAAGTTATTAAAATTGTTAAAATGTCGATAATGGATTATTCCAATTACATACATATTTTTAATATCTACATGCACATATATAGATATTAATGTATAGTGTTAAAGCGAGTAATGTTGAATCATGTATATTGCGTAAGTTGCAAAATAATCAAAATATATATAGAATTACCAATTTTTTATTTATGACATTTTACTGCATTTTAACTGTTTGCACGCTGTTAAAAATTTTTTTTAGCGACTTTACGTAAATAATTTTATATATTATACTATATGTTTCTTATATTATACTCCGTATTATTTTGATAATATATATACAAAAATATTGTGATACTATATGAAGATATTTTGTGAGCCCAAAAGTATAATCATTTTTTGTATTATAAGATATAAAAATAAAATGTGTAGTAAAAATATAATGCTTTTATCTAATGTAAATTGAAGTTCGATTTCTAAATTATCGCAAAAGAACATGGTATAATAAAAAATTTTACAAATAAAATAACATTTTCACTAATATCGCTTAAGGTGAAGATGTTAAATATTTAATAACTAATAATTAATAATTTATATTAAAACATATCTATCGTTGAAGGTATTATTATTATTATTTTATTATTATTATTATTTTAATTAACAATATTTCAACAATGTTCAAAAACCTTTTCCAATAAATAATGAGAGCAAATATTATTTCTGTATTTATAATAAACATAAATAATGAAATGTTTAGAATAAATATTGAAGAGACATACAAAATTTTTCTAAATATTTTCATTCTTTGAAAATATCAGAATGTTATATCGGAATATGATTAACGTTTTAATGTACAATAAATCAGACAATTATTATGCATGTTTTGAATATTTTAAAGCAATCTCTTATATATCGTAATTTGTCTATGCGTGTATACTATATTTATTATTACTTTTCATTTTTCTTAAAGTAAAAATTATTTTTAATTTAAATAACGGAAAATTCCAATCAATTTTAAAGATATTTAAAATACAAATTAAAATGAATGAGTAGCATAGTTTTTTTTTTTTTCATTATTAACAATAATTATTATCAGAGCCAAATTTTCTATTACAATAATGTTATAATTAATTACATAATATAGTAAAAATTATTAAGTCAGTTAAACAAATAACTTTTATGTGAGAAATACAATATAACAATTATACTTTTTTTACTAATCTAGTATCTCAATAATTATGGCTTTGAAATTAAGGAATAAATAAAATTTTTATAATATTCAATACCAATATGAATATTAATTTTTTTTCCAGAAGGAACATCACCTATAGGAGGACATAATCCAACATTAACGGCGATAAGAGTATCCCGATACAATAGCGGACTTCCACTGTCACCCTAAAAATTAGTACTATTTATATAAAAATTTCAATTTTTATCAATTTCGATCAATTTTGTGTAAAAATAATTATATATTAAAAATGTGTTTAAAAACGCTTTAAGCAATGAAGACGGTAAATAAAATTTTTGAAAGAACTTTAATTCCATAATAATTATTAATATGTAACTTTGTTAATATTTGATTATTTTTAATTACTCTGTTAAATTTCTTCATAAAAATAAAATATTTACTATTATTATTGTTAAATAATATCTTTTCGAGTGTATAAGTTAATTTATAGCATTCCACAGAAAAATGCTTTTCATTTTTTTAATTTAAGGATTCGTATAAATCAATTTCGACGTTTTAAATTGAAATTTGTTTGCCTTTCTTCTTTTTTTTTTTTTTTTTTTTTTTTTTTTTTTTTTGTAATGAATAAATGGATAAATGAGTTAAATGAGTATAAAAAAAAAAAAAAATTCCTATTCTAAAAAAACATCATACTTTAATTTATATGAACTAATTACTTACACATTCCAATAATATATACGGTTTTGCACGTGTGCACAAAAATCTCGGATGCATTTTCATTTTTGTTTTAAAAAGTACACTATACTGTTTATCACAGTCTTTTTGCTTTAAAACCCACACCTTCGCTAAATCCATAATAGTTGGAGATACCGAAGAACATTGAGAAGACCAAGTTATTATTGTTGCTTGTTCCGCGTAAAAATGTGAATTTGGTTCTTGTGTAATGGGCACAGGAATAATATTATTAGGCATAGTTGAAAGTAACTAGAACAAATTTTGATTACATATTTAACATTATTTATGTCCGCGCTGACATATAAATCTTTTAGCCATTACAAAGCCTATCACATGTATTTTATAAAATATTAAATGATTTATATCGAATGGTTATTTACCCTTATCATAGCAATATCATTTGAATCAAATTCCAGTTGTTTTTTCATTTCCGTACACCACGATGCATACGTAATCCACCAGAGGAAATGATATTTTATACCTAATCGAAAGTCAATCGAGCCAGCGATTATTGCAGTATGAGGCAAACTTTCACCTTCTAAACAATGTTCAGACGTTAAAACATCGCTATAGCTGACAAGTGTTCCCATACACGTTTTCTTTATTAAAGAATTGTTGCGGGTATTTACTTGTACAATAGATACAACAAAAAGATATTGATTTTCATTTGGATTATCAATATTTTGTCCGGTCAAAGCTATTGTATTTGCTAAATAATAATCATAATATAAATTATATAACTCCCATTCATTGATACTGTAAATTATTGTAAATTATTTTTCTATTTTAATACAACAATTTATACTCACAAAATATTGTGCTTAGTCCAAGAAAAATATAAAAAATTAGCCGGATAATGGATATATAAATATTAGAGAGAAGAAAATTTTCTAAATATATTTTACAATACATTTCTACATGCATTCATGCATGTATATACGCTAGACAATTAATGCAAAAGGCAATTGATGTTAAATTTATTTTTGTGCTTATGTGAGGATATTTTTTGCAATAATGTAAAGATGGTTTTTATATTTGAAAAGCTTTATCTTCATTAAAAATCATACATGAAAAATCAATTTGAAATTAGTTGAAATATATTATCTATCACTATTTTTCAATAATGTTTATTTTATGTTTTTCGATAAAATTAATAACGCTCATATGTGAAATAAATATTAATTTTTAGTGTAAAAATAGGTTTTTTTTTCCTGATAAATATATCAATAAATAAATAAATCAATAAATTTATAAAATTTATAGGTATTATTATATAATATAAATGCGAAATGTACGTTCCCAAATTATTTTAAAATATGGCCGACTATTCATTAAATTTAAATTTATACTTGAAATGGCATGGATATTCTAAAATTTAATTCTAAAAAATACTAACATTAACTTTTATTAAGATAAACATAACATCATATTTGATATTATACTAATTTTTGATTAATTATACTGAAAATAATTATTTATATTACATTTACATTTTTAATCTAATTAAACATAATTAATATTTAATTTTAAATTAATTACAGAACATTTACAATACTAATATTAATTTTTGATAAGATAAATGTGACGGATTCAATTTTCTATTGAATTAAAATTAATTACATTGAATTTAGATTTAATTATCTAATTAAACGAATTATCACTTTTACGGTTTTATTCTAAACATAATTAATTATTTGCTGATAGTTGACTATCAATACAAAAATATACAAAATTATTGTAAATTTACAAATATTTAATATTGCGCAAATAACAACGGAAAATTGCAATGTAGTAATATAAAATAATAATATGTATTTTTGAAATTTGTGTTTGTAATTTAAGAAAATAGAAAAATTTAAATTAGCGTCAGACAAAGTAAGAGACAGCTAATTTTGAAAATATTTTAATTATAATCGTTACATTTTATCCACTATTTACAATATTCATTATCACATCTTGGAAACATTTCCAAAATAATCGTGTTCTACATGCAAATTTAATAACAACAAAATTAATTGAACATATGATATCTCATAATGACTATATTATTTTCGATAAAATTTATAACTTTGCTATTTTCGCTTTAGTTAAAAAGTTTTTCTATAATACTTTGTTGTTCAAATTCATGAAAATAAGTAAAAAGAGGATAATTTCGTCTTTATTAAAAAAAAATATTTACTTTTCAATTATTATTTTATTGAATTGTGTTGTTCTCTTCTATCATGTATCTTGTAATTTTTTGTCTTTTCCTTCATAGTTTAATCTTTTGTGAGTAAAATAATAATTACTGTAGTAACGCAACTTTAAGGAAATATTAACTAAATATCATATATGGCTGTCTTCTTATATCTTAACACTAAAATTTATTATCTTTTAGGCGATCAGTTCGATTTTTCAAATGCAAAAGCCTTGCACGGTTATAATATTCAACATGCATCTGTGAACGAATTTCCTTTTATCGTGTCCATACAAATTAGTCTTCAGAAAGAATCAGCTCCATTTCATATTTGTACTGGAGTACTAGTTTCTAGGATACACGTAGTGTTCGCGGAACACTGCTTAGAAGAACAACAATATAAGTATTCAGTTTTGGTTGTAAAATCAATTAAATCACAAAAAAGACTAAGTCATGCAACATGCTGGATGATTACGTATAATCAATGGTGTAAACAAAAGTCTATAACTATGCAATACCAAACAAATGATATTGCAATATTTAAGGTATAACTATACCGCGAAGAATTTTTATATTGTCGTAGAAAAAGCAAGCGAAATATTTTATATGAAAAATGATCCAATTTCTCATATATATATATATATATATATATATTATTCTCATATATTCAAAAGAATTTAAAGATTCTTTTATCAAATAATGCGTCTATGGCCTTTGTTATAGTCCTCTTAATCTCAAACGATCTTAATCTGAACGATGATGGCAATGATAATGAATGATATACGCAATTCCTGTATCATTACAAGCTCCCCACTACTAACTTCAATTCACGATATAAAAGTATCGGCATAATGTTTTAAATTCAACTATCGTGTGTCCGATCTGTTGTCCAGTTAACAGATTCCAATATAAAAACAATTCCTTAATGGACATTCCGTCATTAAAGTATAGTCGTCTTCATGCACCAAGATGCATTTCTTCAAATACCTTGAAGTTAATTTATTTTGTTGGCCCTAAGAGCCAGAATCATCATTATCCACTTTTACCATTCTATTAATTATATTTTTAGAGAGCTACATGGTTATTTGCCTTAATTATCAAAAATAAATCAGAATACCGAGAAAAAGCAAACAACATTTAAGATGTGATATGATATAGTTATTTTTTTGTTTTGTTTGCTTTTCTTTTTCATTACTTTCGCACTGCTATTTTGGTAAATTAAAAACTCTAAATGCATTTCACCTCGGTACTAAAATATTTTCTTATCTACCTCTAAAATCATATAACAGGGTAATTAATTTTATTAAAGTAAATTTGATGACTGATACAATGGCGTTTATGGCGTAAATTTTAATACATAAATAAATAAGATTAATGTGAAATTTGCTTTGTCTCGATTAATATTAAAATAAACAATTAATGCTTATAATAGGAAATATTTTTTAGTTAGCTCAAGCTGTGGATAATCACGTCAATCCTGCACTTATTTCAAATATACCAAATAACTTTTTATATGGATTAAATGTGACGATTGCAAGTTGGGATAAGACAAATTATAACGAAGATTCGATTACTATAAATTATGGATATGTGACAGTATTAACCGATTCAGAGTGTGAAAATCAGTGTAGTGAAATACTTGGAGAAAAAGTTACGTTGCCAACAATAATGCTGTGCACCGCAGTTAAACCATACGTATTATTAAATATTGTAAGCAATCATTTTTTTACATTCACATGGCATAACTTAATAACAATCAATATATTTTTTTATGTATAATCGATACCTTACTCGGTCGATACATTTTTTAATATTGACATCAATCGAGCGGTTCTGTTTTAAACATTTTATTTTAATATGCTAAAATGCCAGGCTTATATATTATTTCAATATATCATTTATAACAATCTTATTTGTTTATAATTACTAATATATATGGTTTTTTTTTTTTTTTTTTTTTTTTTAATACATATATATAGTGCTTTTTAAACGGCAATCTTCAGTTTAATTCGATAATTACATAGAAATTTTTCATTTCAATTTTGAAAAGGTTTCACCTTCGAGAACTTTCATTTATTTTATAATTGAGTATTTTTTGTACTAATAGTCAGTATTTATTATTCCTATTACTTTATACAGTATGTTTAATTATCTAATATGTTTAATATTTTATGCAATATATTTACAACTAATACGATTATCTTAAATAATTTGTTTTGCATATTTAAAATTTGTATTTATTTGAGAGTATTTTCATATAATTTTATTAATCGATAACTATTTATTATTTATATATTAGATAAATTATTTGTACAGAAAGACTTTATATTCTTGAAAACGGCTATAGGCGGATTATAAATAATGTTTTTCTCAATGTTCTCACAACTGATAGTACAGTAAAAACATAATGAATTGAAATATTTTTAATACTTGTAGTCATCGATAAAACTTTTTCTTTTTTTTTTTTTTTTTTTTAATAAATATTAATGTATAGGCATATTTGACATATACATTAATGTTTGTAATAATAAGTTGAATATTTTCGTGGATACTTCAATGTAAGAATAAAAATAAAATTAATTATCAGTGGTTTAAATAAAACTTCCAAGTGAACTCGATATTGTAAAATAAGAAATTAAAATTAACTCTCTCGGTGTTACGTGGATAATAATATATACACTTTACATATAATTTACTTAAATTTAAAGAAAACTATTAACTTATTTTATTAATTGTTCTATTCATAATACTATCATTGTACTTTAAAACACTGCGAATTCATTAGCAATTTAAAATCTCAATATTCGCCTATATTTGTCAAATACTCCATTGTCAAAATGTTTTTAAAATCATTCTAATGCTTTATAATTATTCATTAATTATAAAAATTTTGAATATTTTTAAATTTATAAAAAATTTTAACACACAATTTGTTAATATTTAAAGTTTTGACATCATAACATTTTGCACATTACTATTGCTATTTATTACATAATTAATTTTAATTATTTGCTAGCATAAACATTTTTATTTGAGGATAGCAACTCCTACCTCATTTTACATAACATTATTTTATTATTACATTTAATATGATATTCTCAGCAATAACGCTTCAACTTTTTGTCATTGCAAAGTAAATAAGACTAATCTAAAATGGAAACTAATTGAACTAATCTTCATAATTAATAAATGCAAAGCTTAATGCACATAACTACTTTTTAGGAGGATAGTGGCGGACCACTCTTATATAATGGTGTCTTTATCGGATTGAACGCAGGGTCGTGTCCATGTGAAGATGCGGTATATCATCCGAGAAAATTAAACATTCATTTTAGTATAAATTACTATAAAAACTTTATTATAGACATAAAAGAAAATTGTATATAAACTGTAAGTTGTCCAATATAATAAAGACTCGTTTAAAATACAAACAATTAATTAATAAATTATTATTTATTGTATATTACTTAGCACATATTCAAGAAATAAAAATTTATGCTTAATAAATAATTGTATTGGAATAAAAAAATTAATACATAAATAGATATAATAAGCAGTTTATATAGTAGTACAATTTTTAAAAAGAATAAAGGTTATAACATTAACTGTTTTATTACTATTTAAACTAGAATGAGGTAGATAAATATTGTGAAAATAATTAAATTTACATATTATACAAAAATTTAATTGTTTGCTCATCTTTAATTAATGCACAGAATTAAAAAATGAGCAGTAAATTCAATATTCATACCATAGTTAATAATTGTATTGTTTAAGTTTATTTTGTGTGACTTTATTTGTTTCGACATTTATATTTATATATTTTATATTGTATATTGGAAAATATTCAAAATTTATTTATTTTAAAAATTACAGCTTTCAATCAAATTTTGGTAAAAAATTATTAATTCTATGAGAAAAGCGTTAAAAAAAAAAAAGAATTGTGACAAAGAAACTTAGTGTTTTCAATTTTGCTCTTAACATTTCACTTTTCTATGTTTACTTTTTGCTTACTTTACTTTGGAATAATTTTTTTTTTTTTTTTCAATTAATTTATTCTAAAAAGATTCTGAAAAGAATAGACATTAAGTATTAGAGATTAATTGTAAATTTAGTTAGAAAAATAAATTAAAATATTGAATTACTCCAGTATTTTCTACAATTCTACTAAAGTATCAAAACGTCACCTACTTTTATCGATTAATTTACAATTTTATTGTTACTGAGTCAGTCAAAAGACCAATACATTTTTGTCGATTTTAAGTACATTTAGGTCTATTTACATTACTTGTTTATAATTATAATTATATAAACAATTTTACTTTAACCGATTTTCACTGAATAATTGTTGGAAGTCATTATTGTCTCATTAGTCAAATAGACAACAGTCTATTATTACAAATTGCACGAATCTATAAATGTATTGAGTAAGATTATTTCAAGCCAATACCATACTTTCAATAATATTTTACTATTTTACTAACAACCGACAATCAAAAGCAATAACGGTGCAGTTCATCTTTGGAGTTCAGCCCAAGCAGACGTTCATGTGTGCATGTGCACATGTGCACATGCGTATGAATGTGTCGCGCGGTGGTCTCCTAAACTTCGAACTTAACCTGAACATCAAATACAATATTTGTAAGTCTTTTAAAAAAATCAGATAACAATTAAGCTAAACTTTTGAATTATTGTTACATTTTATGTTATAATTTGATGCACGATTTTTAAGTCAGGTGTTACTAATATTATTAATATTATTATATTTAAAAGTTATTTAAATAGTTTAGGTTAGATTAGAGAGAATGTCAGTTGAAGACGAAAAACCTGAACTTCGTGTAGGACCTGATCCTAATGTTATTTATCCAATTAAAGTTCAATATTGTGGAAACTGTTCCCTACCGATTGAGGTAAATATATTTCAAAGGTTTTGATCTACCAGTATACAGTACATATAAAATTAAGTTCCGCATTCTTATATTGTTTTTATAATTATAATAATTGAATAATTGTTCTCGATGCTCCATGCAGTACTGTGAATATTATCCAGATTATCACAAATGTAAAGAATGGTTAGAAAAAAATTTACCATCCGAATTTGAAAAAGTAAAATTAGGTAAGAACTGAATCTTTTAAACGAACGTATAATTCTTAAACGTTTATCGTTACTGAAATATTTTGCTTATTAATTTTTATCAATAGACGATGGAAGTTTAGAGGCTAGTAGTGCCGAAGATGAAAAGAAACGCCAGAAACGAGGAGGAAAAGGTATGCTCAAAACAAAGAAAAAGGAAGAAGTACAAAAATTAGTCACAGTTTCCAGAGCACCGAGAGGAAAAAAAAAATCAGTCACAGTTGTACAAGGACTTAGTACTTTTGGTATGTAAATTTAAGCATCCGTATCTATAAAATGAAAATTAACTACTTAAAATTATATTATTTATTTTAAAACAAATTATATTATTTATTACTTTATTTTCACAGTAATTATTTATAACCAATTGAAATACTAAATATTTTCCATTTTGTAAAAAATTTTAATTGATTGTCACCAATATTTCATCTTTTTTAAATAGGTATATCATAATTATATTTCAATTATAATTGAAAATTAATTTCTTACGTATTTAAAAACAATTATTTAATATTAATCTATATACTATAAAAATATAATTTTTTTTTTTTTTTTATACAGATATTGACTTGAAAGTAGCAGCAAAGTTTTTTGGCAGTAGATTTGCCTGTGGGTCTAGTGTGACGGGAGAGGATGAAATTGTGATACAAGGCGATGTGAAAGATGATTTATTTGATGTTATTCCAGAAAAATGGCCACAGGTGGCGTATTAATTAATAATAATACCATTTTGTTCAAATTTTGAATTGTTAATTAGTAATAATTGAATATTATTAATTTGATTTTTAGATTGACGAAGATTTGGTAGACGATCTGGGTGATCAAAAAAGATCTTTACATAAGGCTATTTAAAATGATATTTTAGCGATGGATGTTTATTATAAGCAAATGTATATAAAAATAAAATAAATGTGTAACATTCTTTTTAACAAATACTTTCTTTATTCAAGACTGCTCTTCATCATCCAAATGATTAGTAATAATTTGAAGTAGCATTTCAACTTCTTCTTCTGATAATCGATCTTCGCTGTCTTCAATTATCTGAAAAACATTTAATTTTATTTCATTTAATTAAAAAAATGCGACAAGTCGAATAGTGTGCGTGCTTGCATGTGTATGCATATGTATAATATCAAAGAAAATTGCTTAATATTTTTACCAATTGTATTTCGAGAGCAGTTTTTGGGCATTGGTTGAGTAATGTAAGTTTTTCACACTTTGTAAGTTTAAATGCTTCTAATGCTGCTAAAAATGTCTTAATTTTCTCTGGATTTTGTTTTTTGCACGGCGTATCTTGTAAGTATCTTATCGTTTGATAGGTTATTGTTGCCAGTTGATTTTGTCCTTTTTGTTTTTTATTTGATTTTATGCTTTGCAAAATATCTAATACCTCGTAATTACTAAGATAAGCTGAACACTCATTTAAACTATGAAAAATGTAATTAATCCATTATTTTTCAACTTCACTACTTTTCGAATTATTGTTTAAAATCTTTCTATCGTTTACTTACACTTCCATTGCACTTTCAATACCTTATTGTCGAAATTTTACTAATAAAGCATAAAATTGCAAATTAAAAATTATTAACTATAATTTAAATTATAAACAGCTACTTTTAGCTGTAAATACTGCTTTTAAATCCCATGCATTGAATCCACTTTAATAATTTATCGGATTATCTCATAATTCGCCAAAATCATATTTTTGATAAATCTCAAGCCCACTCATTTATCCGGTTATTTATTGTCTTCGCGATACTCTAAATTAATTTTCAATAGATACATACTCAGTTTTCATTCTCGAATTATCTATGCAAGTTTAGTCGGATGCTTATGGCATAAGCGACAGGTATAAATATCTAACAGAGTGCGCCCTCTGCCGAACAGAAACGTAATCCTCTGTAACGGTGGTGGGGGCAATGCCTTAAGAGATAACCAAAGACTACTGGACAATGTTCTTCGAGGCGGGTTGAGATTGTCGTTGTTACAAACTTGGTGAATTTGCACAAGAAGCTATATACGATGCTATAATATATCGACGAAAAGATATTATTTAGTTATATAATGTAAAGATATTTGTAATTAAATTACAAATGGAATATTGCAGATATTACCGTGGACTATTTTAATAAGTTTGCGCGCACAGTCAAATGTATGGTGGAGAAAAACAAGTGAAACATAACTATTAATTTCACTGAACATTCAGAATGCGATAAATGTATTATAATGTGCTTGGAGGATGGTAAATCAAAGGATAAAATAAGTGGAGCGTTAAATAAAAAAAAAAAAAAAAAAAAAATAATTTCAAGTAGCGTATTATATTAATAACAAGTGAAGACATTGGAAGGACTGACTGGATTGTCGATTGTATGACGCCGATGAAACTATCGGTAAAAAATGTAAAAGAATATAGAAAAATTGAGATAGTATATAATTTCGGCGAGTAAAAGTGTCCGAATACCATTATCATCCGCGCACAAATAATATTTACATTTGATTTTTAACGTTTCCTTTTTCTTCCAATATTCGTTACTTTAAGGGACAGTGAAAATGAACTTTTACTGTTCATTATAAAAGGTGAACGGTGTGTATTTATAATATTTATAATGAAAATAAATTATAAAACCATTAGGCAATGTTCATTAATTTATTAATACATAATGTATAATTATTGTAACCATAATGCAAATATATTAGTAGATTAATATTAATCATTTTAAATTGCAATGGCGAATCTCAGAAATTCAAATCAAAGATCTACGTAATTCTAATATTATACATGGATACATCAATTGTGCGTTAGCTTAATAAAATTAATAAAATTTAAAGAATTGTAGTTTGTACACATTCGCGCGTACATGTACATTTGTTTATTTATATTTTCAAAATATCGCTTTTAAGTGCAAAGCATAAAACCATCCAGACAATGTACTTAGATTTTTACTTGTGAAATTAAGCGTCTATAAAACGAAATAAAAATTGCCACAACTTTTACCTTTTACAGATTTTTTTACTCATTATTTAAATATTTGCCTTTGAATCGATAGCTTATTAGATAAAAACAAAAGTAGTCGAATAAATCAACAATGTTGAATAAATGAATTCCAAATAAGAAAGATAATCATGCAATATTTCGAATAATAAAAATAATTAAAAATCCTTTCGGTGTTACTTACATAATATAATGTATGAATACATTTTTAATTTATTAATTTTTTTGTTTTTTTTTGTTTTCATTGCATGCTCTTCCGTTCCAAGATTGTAAGACAAATGAACTTTCGCATGTAATAATTGTCTTTTACATAAGCACAAAATGTATATAAAATATGCACATGCAATAACACGCGTATAACGTCCCTCTCTCTCTCTCTCTCTCTCTCTCTCTCTCTCTCTCTCTCTCTCTCTCGATTGACACAAAAGCATAAAATATTCTATGTATTATCATAGTTCTCCTTTCTTTCTTTTCCTTCTTTTCTCTTTGTAGTTAAAAATGCTGTAACGAACCACAGAAGGAATTAAACAAATTGAGGTCGCGAATTAAAATATGCGTAATCAACAGAATTGCTTATAGGGTATATATTTTTATTTTATAACGATATAATGTGTATTTTAAATAACATTAGATACAAAAGTTTTTAGTTTAAAACGTGACATTGTAACAGACAAATAAAATAATTTACTCAATAAAAAAAAAAAAATAATAAAAAAAAAAATAAAAAAAAAAAATTAAATATTTTCTAATGGACTGTTTTTGCTAATAGTACACCATAAAAACGAATTTAACGTATTAATAAAGTAATTAATTTTTACAATAAAATTCTTTAACATAATGTATTTTTAAAAGATTGCACTGGCTAAAATAGGTTTGTGTATTCGGCGCGCGTGTTTGTGTGCGCAATAATAATATATAATATATGCAAGAAGACATATAGAATTGCGAGTGAAATAGATTAAGCCATTTGCTACTCTCGTCAGCACTACGAATATTAAGGAATCCCGAAATACGCCGTAAATTAACATCGCACATTGTTCGCCATTAAGCATTATTATTCTCATTATCTGTTTTAAAATTCGGAATTTCGACGAGCCTGCGCGTGTGTGCGCGCATACTGTATTTCGTGTGTTCTGCACAAGCGCGCGCGCGTGCGATCAGTGCGACAAATAAATCGCAAGTGCAGCACGCGTTTGTGTTGGTAACGAGACGACGAAACTTTTGTTCTTGCGAGTCTAGTTACTAATAACTAGTTTTGTTCTACTTGCGCATTTGCTTTTCGCCCGAGGCAAGTGTTACATTTAAATTCTTGGTGACTGCGACGATGCAGTAAGCAGTCGGATTTCAAAATGTAATGTATAATCATGGAGATTTTAAATGTGCTCGTCATATTCGAATGAGGGGGGCGAGCTTCACTTCTCTCTGCCTAAGAAAAAAAGCTCCTCACCAATTGCGCGTGTGCCTCTCTCTCTCTCTCTAACTCGCGCTGTCTCGCTCGGATCAGCTCGCGCTGTCTCCGTCGCTCCCACTCTCTTTTTGACGTTCTCTTGTGCTCCTTTCCTGTTACTGACTGTGCATGCAAGTCGACATATCGATTTCCGCATACAATTGAGCTCGCAACTCCGTCGTCGCCGTCGCTACATCCGATCACTACGTATCGATGCGTCCAAATATTTATCTAAGAATTCCCGGCGGTATCTCCGTCTGGACAGAGAGGAGAGATCTGTTGTGGGAGGAAAATGTTATACGTTGAACAGTGCTGAACGGTATATAGAACGACGGCGGGGCAAAAGCGAAGCAACATGGAAGTTGTCGAGGACTACGAGTACAACGCCAAGGACGTCATCGGACATGGGGCCTTCGCGATGGTATTCAAAGGCAGACATCGCAAAGTGCGTAGTCCCCGTAATATATTAATATTGAGGCTGGATTATTTTGTGCTCAATAACAATGCATAAGCAGTTGTGATATAATTTTGCTAAGGACTGGAATTTGTATGTGAATATGCTCGCTCGCTGATTAATTAATGAATATATAATAGAGAATCAAGCTTTTATCGTAACTTACAAAATAGCTAACAGAGATTACTGACTTTCGAAAGACTAGAGTCGTTATTATGTAAAATAAATGACATGAAAATCTTGTGCGTAGAAATATAATAACAAGTGCATACAGCTCTTTTGTTCAAAGTTACTCGTTTGTTCGTGTCAGAGTGATTAATTATAGATATTTGTGAAAATTGGAACGAATATGAATACTTTGGGCACAAACAAAATTATTATTATGATCCTATAAAATTATTTTGTAATTTACACAATCTTTCAAATTAAATATCAATTTTATCTAATTTAATCTAATGTAGTATTTTTGGAGTTTATTTAGCTTTGTTAATATTTGCTATTTCTACTTGCTTTCAGAAAACCAATTTTGTTGTTGCTATCAAGAGTATTACCAAAAAAAGTTTAGCTAAATCACAAAATTTACTTGGAAAGGAAATAAAAATCTTGAAGGTAAAAAATAAATTACATTATAGCTGATAATTGAGAATAGAGAATTGAAAGATAAGAAGAAAACTACTTTTATCTATGATAGGCCATATGTTAATAATGAAATGTTGGTTTCACTGAAAAATGTCCATTTTATTCAACGGTATCTTTCAAACTCAAAATAAATAATCAATTAATGAATTGAATAATTCAACCTTTTAATTTCATTCGTTCTTATAGATAATTTAGATTAATAATTCGATTGTTAAATATCAATAGAATGAGATTTTATTCTTGGCTTTATTAAAAAACATTTTAATTTTAATTAAAATAAATAATTGACAATCTGATAAAAAAAAAAAATTAATTATAAACTGTGTTATGTATTTTTTATGTAAAATATCCTATGTAATATGTAACATGAAAGTTCTTAATTATAATGTCTAAAGTTAAAACGCATTTAAATTAATTGTTTTTTGTGTAACACAGGAGCTGACAGAATTACATCACGAGAATGTTGTCGCTCTATTGGACTGTAAGGTTAGTAAAACATACGTATTTAAAAATATAGAAAATATTTTATTTTTATTCTGAGTGAAACTAGAAACTACCGTTTACTTTTAGGAATCAAATCATAATGTCTTCCTTGTTATGGAATACTGTAATGGCGGGGATCTAGCAGATTATCTAGGTGGTAAGTCAACATAATAATCGAGGTCAAAATAATAATTTATAATTTGAAATATTTATACATCGACGTAATTTTTTGTTAAATCTTTAATATGAACAACATGAAGTATAATAATAATAATCGAAATGAAAACATAAATTGTTATTGTATATGGCTTAAATTATTGTCATTATATATGATTATTTTGATAATTATAATGCGTATATGAATTGTAACATAAAGAGATTTATTTGTCATTTTTCGCATATAAGGGATTTTATTCTGGTAAGATTAATAAATAGTATAACTTTAACTTAACTTAGCTTAAAGGGTTTTTAAAAATACAAATCATACAATAATAAAGTACATCTATAATCAGTTAATTAATATTATAGCATAACTAAGTAAGGATTCGATTACTTCATTTCCTAGCTTATAAGTGAAAATTATCTCTGATTAAATGATACTTAATTAAATACATCTTTCTATTTATGTATAATGTAGCTAAAGGAACACTGTCGGAAGACACCATAAGAGTATTTTTAAAACAGTTAGCTGGTGCTATGAAAGCGCTTCATGCTAAAGGTGTTGTCCACAGAGATCTTAAACCGCAAAATATTTTGCTTAGTCATAATTGTGGCAAAGTCTGTCCCCAGCCACATCAAATAACTCTTAAAATTGGTAACTATTTAGTCAATTGTCCGAGTCACATTTCAATCGAAGCTCAAACTTCATAATTCGCTGC